CCAATACGACCTTCTTCAATGATAATATCCCTGGTGCAACGAGTTTCCCCACCCCGATTACCTTGGCTGCATCTTTCAACAAGTCACTTTGGAAAGCTGTTGGCCAGGTGCATTTTCGTCATGAAGAAATCAATAGATAACTAATGAATAATTGTAGTTCACTATAAAAGCACAGTAATTCATTTTGCAGATTTTCTTTCTTTCGAAAATTTCATAAACATGGTCCTGAAATTTTACTTAATGATGTACTACATTAAGTTGCATTACAGGCTGCCTCTACGGAAGCAAGAGCCATGAACAATTTTGGTCAGGCAGGGAAATCATTCTGGAGTCCAAATATCAATGTTGTGAGGGATCCTCGTTGGGGAAGAGCTTTGGAGACACCTGGGGAAGATCCTTTTGTGGTTGGGACATATGCCTCCAACTACGTGAGAGGATTGCAAGATGTTGAGGGCACTGAAAACACTACAGATTTGAATTCTAGACCCCTCAAAGTTGCGTCGTGCTGTAAACACTACGCAGCATATGATGTTGACAATTGGTATGGAGTTGTACGTGAAACATTTGATGCAGAGGTAAATTGTAGAAATTTTGGACATCGATATATACTCCATGTATATGTACTTTATAGAACGTAACTAGTTGCTTATTGTTTGTTTGTTGATGTGTTATTTTGACTTGCAAGGTTAGAGAGCAGGATATGATTGAAACGTTTGTGAGGCCATTTGAAATGTGTGTTAAAGACGGCGATGTTTCTAGTGTTATGTGCTCTTACAATCGAATCAATGGCATTCCTGCTTGTGCAGATCACAGACTTCTACATGACACCATTAGAGGAGAGTGGGATCTTCATGGGTATTAATTCAACATCACAAACTTTGTGTTTCAGCCTTAACAAACATGATTTTGGTTTTTATGATATCCGCAATGACAATTATCAAGACTGACTACTGATTTTTCTCTTTATTTTTCAGGTATATTGTTTCCGATTGTGATTCTATTGATGTAATGGTCAACAGGCACCATTTTCTCAATGATGCGCCAGAGGACGCCATGGCTCAAGTTCTAAAAGCTGGTTGGTCGAGTGTTGCTTTACTTTTGTGCTCTTTTATTACCATTTACTCCATTATTCTACCTTCTTGTTTAATTATCTCCCATCTAATTATCCTTTCATCGCATTTTAGTTAAGATATAAATAAGGCAGAAACTACTACTAATTGCAAAATGGATTGACATACATAATTAAATGTATGTACATAACTTAGTTCTCATGATTAAAAATGTAAAGAATGTAGGATGAGATCTAGATTGACATAGACATGTTTCATTAACATCCACAAAAGATTTTGTTTATTATATTGCTCTTTTCTTGATACTTTGTAAATATGCCTAAAAATTGTATTAACATTGTGTACAGCTCCAATTTTGAAACGTTGTAATAGTGTTGTGGGAAGAATTGTAAGTCCTATCTAAGATTGTTCTATTCACATTTTTCAGTGCCATCTAATATTCTTGTTTTAATAATTTCAAGTTCCGTTTTATTTTTTTGGCTTTTTTTGTGAGTAATTATCATTTTTCTTTCTGTTTTTGTTGTCATTTCAGGTTTGGATTTGGATTGTGGAGAATATTATACCAAGTATGGTGCCAATGCAGTAAACCAAGGAAAAGTTAGGGAAGCAGACATAGACAAAGTCTTGAAAAACCTCTACATCGTCCTTTTCAGGCTTGGACACTTTGATGGCAGTCCACAGTTTGAAAAGCTGGGCAAGGATGACATTTGCTCTCAAAGCCACATTGATTTAGCCATTGAAGCTGCCAGCGAAGGAGTGGTTCTACTCAAGAATGATAACAATACTTTGCCATTGGATGCTCAGAAAGTTAAAAAGGTTGCCGTGGTTGGGCCACACGCCAACGCCACTAAAGTTATGATTGGCAATTATGCTGGTAATTGTTGAAATACAAACAAAATCAAGCATTGCTATTTTTTAATTTTCTTAATTTGCATAGAAATTTATTATTATTTTTTCCTACAAATGCTTTCTTAATTTGCATAATTTGGTTGATTTGTGTTTGTGTGTAGGTATACCATGCAAATATACCAGCCCACTGGATGCATTCAGACAAGCTTATGGGAATGATAATGTGTACTATGCACCAGGCTGTCTAGATGTTGCTTGTAGAGATTATAGTTTGGTTTTCCCAGCAGTCCAAGCATCTAAAAAGGCGGATGCTGTCATCATTGTTGCAGGAATAGATACCTCAGTTGAGGCTGAGAGCCTTGATAGGGAAAATCTTCTGCTACCTGGTTATCAATATGAATTAATAGATCAAATTTCAAGGCAATCCACCACTCCTATTATTCTGGTAATCCTATCTGCCGGTGGTGTTGACATTTCTATCGCCAAAAATGATTCAAGAGTTAGTGCCATCCTTTGGGCTGGATATCCTGGAGAAAAAGGTGGCCAGGGCATTGCAGATGTTATACTTGGGAAATACAATGCTGGTACGTAACGCCTGTTTTTTTTTTCCCTTGTAAAATGCTAATACTTTTTTTTTTTTGTTTATCATGATATGAAACATCATTAAGCCAAAAGTCGAATCTTATCTTACAAATACAATTTGCAATTTTTATTTGTAGCTGGAAGATTGCCTCTTACATGGTTTGAGAACGATTATGTCAACCAGATACCAATGACATCAATGCCATTGAGGCCAGTAAAGGAATTGAATTATCCGGGTAGAACCTACAAGTTTTACAGTGGCTCAACTGTGTATCCATTCGGGCATGGGCTGAGTTATACCACATTTAAGCATTCCGTGGTAACAACAACGAGATCATTGTCCATCAAGCTGAACAAGCTTCAATTTTGCCGTGACCTCAATTACACTGATGGTGCTAAAGTGCCCGCATGCCCCGGAGTTTTGATTGATGATATTAACTCTGACAATCTAAATATTGAGTTTGAGGTTAAGGTAGCAAATGTTGGGGAAAGGGATAGTAGTGAGTCCCTCTTGATTTATTGGGTTCCTCCGCAAGCCATTGTTGATGCTCCCATCAAACAGTTGGTTGCATTCGACAAAGTTTTTGTACCTGCCGGAGAAAGCGTAAAGGCTAAATTCAACTTGAACGCCGGCAAGAATTTGGGACTGATAGATTACAAAGGTTATAATATTTTGGGTTCTGGAGAGCATACCATTGTGATTGGAGAGAACGATGCTTCATTTCCTCTTCACATCGAGATCGAAGAATATGCGTTCAACCAGGAGGATTAGGAGTTTAATTTTTTTTTTTTTTTTTTGTTGTTGTTGTTAGCAGCTTATTAGAGATGTTTGGGTAGCCATTGCTGTATTGCAATTATTTTTTAGTGAGGCTACTACTTTGGAATTGATTGCTTAGGGTGGTATTAATTGGTATTCCTTTTTCCATTGATACAAATAACATAGATGCTGATTCGTATTTGAGTTTATAAACTTTTGATATTCCAATTAATGTTCTAAAATTTTTGAACTCGTGACACAAAAAATTACCACACAAACTCCTGTAGTTGTACAATAACGTATATACTTACAAGCTCCGAGTTTAACCATAGATGCATGAATGAAATCTTTGGTAGTTTTTTTGCCTGGCATAAATTGAGTTCTCAAGTAAGTGCTGCAGCCACCGGGTTTTCAATTAAGTGTTTTATAATCCCTCTATCTTTACCACCCTTCAAACACTAGTAATGAATTGATATGCAGAATTCTCAATTCTCACGAGTGAATAATTAGTATGAAGAGTTTATTGGATAATTAGTATCAATAGTTTGTAATTAAAAGAATTTATACCGTTGGCCTTGTTCCCTCCTGAGATTAAAAGCATAACTCAGTATTTCTATGAGAGCCAACAGATTCCCTCCTGATTGATCGATCATGGGATATCTTGGGATTGACCTTTTAATTATATCCTAGAACATTTTGGGCATCCATCAAATGTGGCACCAGATAATAATGCGGAAAAAAATGACATCTACAAAATCAAAATTCATGTCGGATCGGAGGATCAAACGAAATTAAAACTACAAAAGAGACAATCCAGTCTTAACTAAACGCTGAAATGCCAAGTGAGGTACTAGTGCTATCACTAACAGACGGTAAAATGCAGAGAAAGATAATGCAACGAAACTTCAGAGGTGCATGGCAATTAGCAACCATCTTCCTGGGCTCATTCCTTGCTATATCAACGACGTTATTATATCTTTCCGATATACATGAAAAAAAAAAAATAGCAATCCTCGTGTTGCAATCAACAAAGAGGACATAAACTCAAGTTAAAAAGAAATAAAGCTAGCACAAAACTAAGTTGTGCATGCACTTTTTGTCAGGAAAATCAGCCGCTAAGTGAATGTATCCAGATGGGGTGTCAAAAAAAAAAGAAAAAAAAAAACAGATTAGAAGTCTTTGTGACACCAAAAAGAACAAAAATAAAAGACGTAAATGGACTGAGCTTTAAAATTACAGCAGCATTAGAAATGACTATCAACTGAAATTATATTAATTTGGAAATTTTTTGTACACGAGTTAATATGCTAAATAACTCAACAGACATGAGTGGGAAATGGTAACGGCTCTTTGTCATATAATAACAGCCTGATTTGGATATCCCAACTTCAGGATTTTGTAGTTTACGTCAAAGTATCTATAGAATTAAACCAGTGTCACACTAGTATTAGGCTAATCATTTGGGTGATAAATCTCCCAAGTAGATTAATAATGTGAAGAGTAATCTATAATGAGATAATTAATTATTCTGCGGTTAGACAGATAGATATATTTAGATATGCACATAAATCTTATTATTCACAGTATCTAACGAGAACTAAGATATGCATATGGATCTAATATCCAGATTAAGCTAACGACATTTGCATAATATCCTCCAGCTCTATCTTGCATGTCTATATCAAGGGGCATGATACTGATCATTATAGGCTATTTGCAGTGGCCTTCAATTATCACTTACAATGGCAAGACTTCACTCCGTTCTCTTTTTGTCAGTTCTCTGCTATGTTGCGACTGCCAAGAAAATTCTTTTGTCCACACCGAGAATGGATGATTCTCAGTCTTCCCATGTAACCCAGACCTACACCTACGTTTGCCATCCATCAAGATTTAACGGCCTTGGCTTAAATATGGAATATTTTGGCTACTGCAATAAATCACTTCCATTTGAGGTTAGAGCCAAAGATTTGGTAGATAGATTGAGTTTGACTGAGAAGGTGGGGCAACTTGGAGACCAGGCCAATGGGGTGCCAAGGATTGGTCTACCAAAATACTATTGGTGGTCCGAGGCATTACATGGTGTATCAGACTTCGGTGATACGGCAACCTTTTTCAATGCTACCATCCCCGGTGCAACAAGTTTTCCCACACCTATTTCCATGGTTTCGTCCTTCAACGTCACTCTTTGGAAAACAATTGGCCAGGTAAAGAGGGCATAAAAAATTTTTTTTATACCAAGTATGGTGCCAATGCAGTAAACCAAGGAAAAGTTAGGGAAGCAGACATAGACAAAGTCTTGAAAAACCTCTACATCGTCCTTTTCAGGCTTGGACACTTTGATGGCAGTCCACAGTTTGAAAAGCTGGGCAAGGATGACATTTGCTCTCAAAGCCACATTGATTTAGCCATTGAAGCTGCCAGCGAAGGAGTGGTTCTACTCAAGAATGATAACAATACTTTGCCATTGGATGCTCAGAAAGTTAAAAAGGTTGCCGTGGTTGGGCCACACGCCAACGCCACTAAAGTTATGATTGGCAATTATGCTGGTAATTGTTGAAATACAAACAAAATCAAGCATTGCTATTTTTTAATTTTCTTAATTTGCATAGAAATTTATTATTATTTTTTCCTACAAATGCTTTCTTAATTTGCATAATTTGGTTGATTTGTGTTTGTGTGTAGGTATACCATGCAAATATACCAGCCCACTGGATGCATTCAGACAAGCTTATGGGAATGATAATGTGTACTATGCACCAGGCTGTCTAGATGTTGCTTGTAGAGATTATAGTTTGGTTTTCCCAGCAGTCCAAGCATCTAAAAAGGCGGATGCTGTCATCATTGTTGCAGGAATAGATACCTCAGTTGAGGCTGAGAGCCTTGATAGGGAAAATCTTCTGCTACCTGGTTATCAATATGAATTAATAGATCAAATTTCAAGGCAATCCACCACTCCTATTATTCTGGTAATCCTATCTGCCGGTGGTGTTGACATTTCTATCGCCAAAAATGATTCAAGAGTTAGTGCCATCCTTTGGGCTGGATATCCTGGAGAAAAAGGTGGCCAGGGCATTGCAGATGTTATACTTGGGAAATACAATGCTGGTACGTAACGCCTGTTTTTTTTTTCCCTTGTAAAATGCTAATACTTTTTTTTTTTTGTTTATCATGATATGAAACATCATTAAGCCAAAAGTCGAATCTTATCTTACAAATACAATTTGCAATTATATATTAACAGTACCTCCATCTCCTATCCGTTTCCTAGCCCCCCTTTCCAGCACCTCCCTCGCACTAACCGCACTCCTCCACATCCATGAGTCAGAATTTCTAGGCTTCATCCTCCATATCGACTCTCCCTTAAAGTACCTCCCTCTTAGTACCTTGCTTACCATCAAATTTGGGTTGGTTATCACCCTTCACAACTGTTTTGCTAATATGGTTTTGTTAAACTCTTGCAAATCCCTAAAACCCAACCCTCCCTTCCCCTTGACTTGGGTCAACTTCTGTCATCCTATCCAGTGTATTCATTTCTCCTCTTTCTTACTTTCCCACCAGAATTTAGCCATATCCTTGCTGATGTCTTTACATAGTCCAACAGGGAGCCTGCAGCAGTTCATAGCATAATTTGGAATTGCCATAACCACTGCCTTTAGCAAAACCTCCTTACCTGCCTGGCTTAGCAACTTCTTCTTCCATCCCTTTATTCTGCTACTTACCTTGTCCCTTATATAGTTAAACACTTGTGCCTTAGACCTCCCAATTAATATAGGGAGCCCCAAATATCTACTCTGCCTTACATGTTGCATTCCTCCCAGCTCCTGCAGAATCCCCTTAATACTACTCTCCTCAGTATTCTTACTAAAAAATACAAAAGACTTCTCCATATTGATACACTGCCCAGATGCTTTCCCATATATCTCCACCAACTGCCGCACTCTATCTGCTTCCTCCTGTGTTGCCCTGCAGAAAATTAAAGTATCATCTGCAGACAAATGTGTGAGAGAGCAGGGCTTGCAGCAGCAATTTTTAGTCTTGAGATTCCGTGTTCCCTCATGGCTGTGTTGAGCAATCTAGACAGCTCCTCAGAGACCAAAAGGAACAAATAAGGGGACAGTGGATCCCCTTGCCTAATTCCTCTAGAAGGCCTGACAAAACCCCTTTTCTCCCCATTAATATTGAAACTATAAGTCACAGATGATACACACTTTAAAATCTAATTGATCCAGGTAGAACAAAATCCCATTTTAGCCATGACCTTTTCAAGGAAACCCCATTCCACCCTATCATAGGTTTTAGCCATATCTAGTTTAATAGTTATAAAAACATTCGTACCACTCTTCCTATTGTTCAAATAGTGAATGAATTCATGTGCAATCATAATATTATTAGTAATATGCCTTCCTGGGATAAAAACACATTGATTAGCACTAATACAACAGTTCAAGAAAGGTTTGACCCTATTAACAAGGATTTTAGAAATGACTCTATATACCATATTACACAAGCTAATAGGCCTGAACTGAGAAACTGAGATAGGAGAATCAATTTTTCGAATCAGAGTGATACTTGTTTCATTTATAGCTTTGAGCAGATTGCCAGAATGGAAGAAACTAGATATAGCAACAATCAAATCTAGCTTGACAATATTCCAAAACTTTTGAAAAAAGACAGAACTCATACGATCAGGACCTGGAGCTTTGTTAGGATGTAAGGAGAAGACTGCTTTTTTTACCTCCATTTCTGTTTTGGCTTGGTCAGTAGTGAGTTCATTTAAGCAGTAATGATCTGTGGGATACACTGAATAACTGGAGCAAATTCCTTAGGACTGGAAGAGATAAAGAGACTGTCAAAGTAACAGTAATCTCCTCCACTACTTCCTCCTCATTTTCACACCAATCTCCCCCAGCCTTCTGCAATGTTGTAATAGTATTCCTCTTCTTTCTCCCTGCAACAATTGCATGAAAATAACCAGTGTTCTTATCCCCTTCTCGCAGCTAGTTTATTCTAGCTTTTTGCCCCCAGAATACTTCCTCTTTCTTATATGCATCAGCTAGCCTTCTCTTCAGCTCACAGATCTTTTGTTTCCTGTCCTTGGCCTTACTCTCATGCATCTCTTGGATCTCCTTCTTGATCATATCTATATCACTCCTAGCATTATTCTTCAAGCTCCTATTCCAACTCAACAAAGCTATCCTACACTCCTTTATCCTATTTTTAACCTGAAATAGCCTTGACCCCACCTGCACTTTTCCCCAAGCCCTCTTCACCACCCCATTCACCTCCTGATACTGCAATCACCTCCTATCAAAACAAAATCTTCTTTTCCACTTTTTTTCCTTTGGTTCAGTATGTAGTAGGAGCATACAGTGATCAAAAGCCTCATTGTGTATATGACAGCATTTTGCTTTCTCAAACTTCCTCCTCCACACCCTACTACCAAGCATTCTATCCAACCTCTCTCTTACTTCTCCCTCATTGTCCCAATTATTACTCCAAGTCCAAGGTTTCCCTTCGAATCCAATATCTATCAGCTCGTTTGAACTAATAAAGTCTCTAAACTGTTTAAAGCTCCTTTCAGGCCTCTGTACCCCTCCCCACTTTTCACCATTACTCACTATGTCATTCATATCCCCAGCTATCAACCATCTATTACCCCATAAAACCTTCCTATTCCCAATAATTTGCCACTGCTGCTCCCTAGTAGCATCATCTGTACTGGCATATATGCAAACCAACCACCAGAAAATCCTTTTTCTCAGGTCCTCAATGCATAATTCTATAGTAAAGTTCATGTATAACATTTTTTTGACCTGAACCTCTTTTTTCCACATTACAGCCAAGCTCCCAAACCTTCCTACTGGATCTATTACAAACAAGTTATCAAACTTAAGTTTCACCTTCAGTTTATTCATATAACACTTCTTATTTTTAGTCTCAGCTAAGAACACAATTTCTGGGAAGTGGAGTCTATTGACTTCCTCTATTTGGGAAACTGTTAAGGGTCTTCCCACACCTCGATAATTCCACACCAGGACCCTCATAGACACTGTGGGGCCCCATTAAGGTTGGGTTCCCCCACCTTCACTAGCTCATTCCCCTTACCTTCCAATTCCAGTTTCCTGCATGTCTTATTTCCACCTTTACCATCTTCCCTATAGTCTCCCTCCCTATCCACATATTTCTTCTTCCCAGTATCCACATCCATTTCGATGATCCCATTGCTATCAGTGAGTGGCTTTCTCTTCCCCACCTCCTGTACCAGTCTTTTCCATGCCTTACTCCTTCTATATTTGCCAACTGTATTTTCCTTTCCTCTACCTACTCCTGTATGATTACCCTCAGTCTCAATACTATCATAGTGTCCTTCCTATTTTTGTGATTTCTCAGTTTTCATGCATCCATCAATCCACATTATATCCTGCTCATTACTATTTTTATGCTGTATAACTACTTCTCCAGGCTGGTCCCTAATCATCTCATTCCTCCCTTTCTCCCTCCCAGGTTCCACACCTCCTCCATATTCCCAACACTATCTATTTGTTGTTCTGACCTATCCTTTGTGCCCCCTACCCCTTTGTCCATTTGTTCTTTCTGTACTGGTTTTCCTACTTCTCCCTCCTTGTCCCCAGATATATCCTTAACTCCTGCTATGTCATCACCCCACTCCTCCACCCCTCCTGCCCTGTAGCTGTCCTCTATTGATCCCCAAGTCAACAAGTACTGTCCCTGTCCCCTATTTCAAGCCTGACCAGACCTATTCTCCTCCATCATTTTTGATGTCTATTCTGCAGTCGATTGTCTCTTATGGGGACTTTTAGGCCCACTGGCCTTGAGCCAAACTCCATATTGAGTCTCCTTGTTGAGGTACAGGCCTTTATCCTTGCAGTTCCTCTCATTATGCCCCATACGCCCACAACAATAACAGAAGTCTGGGCACTTTTCGTATTTAAAATCAATCCATCTTCCCACTCCATTCATTTTGACTGTTGTTCTCCTTAGTAGAGGCTGAGTCAGATCAATTTCTACAAGCACTTTTAAATGTTTACCTTCTCTCCCCCCCATTAGGTACTATAATTTCCTTAATAGCTCCACAAATACTTCCAATCTTCTTCCCTGCTTCCTTAGATATCCAGTGCATAGGTAAATTCCAAATCTGTAACCATATCCATGTTTTAGTAAAGACTTCCTCCTTAGTTTCTATTCCATCCCTCTACGGCACTAAAATTAGAGGCTGATTATCATATGTCCATGGTCTCCCTCCCAAGACCTTCTCCCTATCATGCATATTATCGAATATAAATTGAAACTTATTAATACCAATTTCCACCACCCTCAGATTTTTCGCAAAAATCCACATATTATTAGCAAAACTTCTAACTCCAGCTATATGAGCCACATTATCCCCAAAAACCTTCCCAATAACACTTCGTTTACATTCATCCAGACTCTGAAGGACGTCCTCACCTTCAATCTGTATTCCTCCTGCCTCCTTTTCAGACAACACAAACTTCCTCAGCACCTCTTCCAGATCCTCAGCCATTCGCTCGAAACTCAAGTTCCGACAGAATCACTCCACTACTAACCAGACCAGCACAACATAGACTTGGACAGAACTAGATCCGATCGATGTGAAAACAAGCAATCGAGCAAAGATTCAGCAAGAACAAAGAGAACACAAACGAGCTAGGACACAACAAAAATAAAACGAAGAAGACAAACACCACTCGAGATCAAACAAACAAACTCAAAGATTAACACGGAAACACAACCAAAACACAGCACAGAAACAAACCGAAGGAACTACTGGTCGATAGATCACCAAACTCAACCGAAAATGAAAGAAAACAAAAAAGGAACAACCAGAGGCAGAAAGGACGAAGAGAGCTCAACCTACAGCTCCAGCAAAACGATGTAACCGCAGCTACTACGGAATGGACGACACTTACTCAAACGATCTAGACCGAGCCAAGATGAGCTGAGAGAGCCCTCCGAGCTCAACTAACTCAGTCAAAACCATCCTGGAGAACTTTTATTCTTCGTAATGGAAGGCATTATTATGATATAGGATTATGATTGGCACGCACTTTCACCCAAGTTTGAAACAATCGAGGATGATCAAAGATAGGCAATGAATATTAGGTTTTTTGAAGTTTGGGAAATTTTGAACTTCCACGCGAGAAGAAATAGCTCTTAGTTTAGAGAGAGAAAGCTGCTCTCACTAGAGGAGAGAATTTTTGGGTAATTGCATGGACTCTCGCTGTTGCTGTTTCCATCATTCAATGCCTTATCACCACCAGCCAATTTATAACATAAGTTCTACAAAGAAATTTTTGAATTTTTTTTTGTCAATGTTTATCGAACATACATCATATACTTAATAACCAACGTCCGATGGTTCCAAAACTATTTTTCCTACTGATAGCTTTTATAAACAATACATGAATTGGATAGGTCTTTTAGCAAAACCAAACATGAAGGTCGCTTCTTGCCTCCGACTCCTTTCTCCGACCCGTTCTTTTTCGACGCCATCAATTTCAAGTTTAATTTTAAAAAATGTTACTGATGCTAGTGAGGCTAAAATTGAAAATTAAAGTCTAGATCACTAAAATTATGGCCAATCAAAGACAATGACGTGGATTGGATTTTTAGCGATTTAGAAAGGGATCCAATGGTTTGTGTCTAAAATATTGGGTAGGTGAGATCTAAACCGTTAATGAGCATATTTATTTGGTTAACTAGGAGGCTGATGAGGATATAAAGTGAAACGCCCAAGTCTATTTATGAGGATAGCTAGCTAAAATTGTGGCCAATCAAAGGCAATGACGCGGATCAAGGTTTGTAGCGATTTAAAAAGGGATTCCATAGTCAATGTTGGGTGGGTGGGTGAGATCTAAACCTTTGCAAAAAAAAAACAAATGAACAACTTTAATTAGGCTAAAAGAAGTTTATGTGGTTTTTGTGGGTGGCCTCCTGTCCCTTTTACGCTAAAACCTACTAATTTTGCATATACATTATAAAATTTGTTTTAGGTTGTTTCTTTTATCTGGAATTCCATACCAACATTTGATTCGCATATGCATTATAAAAATAGTAGGCTGCTTCTTCTGTCTCAAATTCTATAATAGCAACCTTTGATTTGATTCGCATATGCATTATAAAAATGGTAGGCTGCTTCTTCTGTCTCAAATTCCACACCAATTTTTTAAATTTATTTCAATAGGTACGAATTAGTGTAAATGTTATTTAAGTTTTCTCAACATTTAAACCTATCAAAATTGAACTCCCCTTTATAGAGTCTTGCATGATGACAATAGAACCAACATTATTATCAATCAATAATCCATGATTCGAATTATTATATCTAGAATAAATATATTAACACCAATATCAATTAAAGTATAATTCACACAAATATTTCAACATTATACGGTAATGGTAGTGAAAAAAATTGTCAATTAAATTAACAACATTTTCTTAGTGTAGGTCAAATGTTTCGAATTCAGGATCTCTTACTTACGTTCCCTTCCTACGTGCCATCTAACACATCCTTCCCTCAATTAAATTAAGAATTTAAATTTGGTTGTGAAAAAAATTGTGACCTATAAAAATGAAAACTTAACAAGGATGTAAACCAATTGAATTAACCTAAAATGGTATAGCAATCTTAAGAAAAATCTTCAAATGGAAAAGTTGCCTCAGGGTAAGTAATCCATTACTAAACCCTTCAACTTTTCTAAATCTCCATTTTGAGCCAAAATAATTAATTGATTAAGTTAAACCAAAATTAGGCCTCTAGCTCCTACCCAAATAAAAAAAAAAGGTTAATTACATCTACCTCTCCTGAGATTTGGCCAAACTACAAATTAGTCCCTAACATTTGGCCAAATTACAAAACAGGCCTTCAAACTCACAAATCTATAACAGCTACCTCCTTGCCGTTAGTCAGAAGACGTTTGACCATTCATTTGTATGACCACAACAAATAGTATGTAGGGAATGTACCAAAGCACCCACCATTAAAACTTATATTTTCTTTTGTTGTTTTATTTTCTGTCTTCTACTACCTTTGTATTGTCGAGGAAAAAAAATTTCAACCATAACAGGGGTAGTGTAAATGGTCGCCGACAACCATGGCGGCCTGCCTCCACCACTTTTAATAACTAAGATCAGTGACATTGCCCATCTAACTCGTATTTTGTCTAGAAAGCTGTTTTCATCATGAAAATTGGCAAAAAATGATCAAAGAACAACCACATAGAATGAAAACTATGGCTGTTCCACTCTTCGTCTCACTGAATAACAACTAAAAATTACAAAATTCATACCAAAATGATCATGAAAAAATATGGGTATTAGAGAAAAATCATTGAATAGTTACACCAATTTTTATTTATCATCTTAAACTCAAACCTCAGGAAAAATCTAATTAACAAGTTTTATGCTCTTCAACATTTTTCTCGAGAACTTGAATTTGAAGGCATCTTAATCTTTCATGTTATGGTTTGGTAGAGGAATCAAAGATGGGAAGATGATATCAATGGAGAGGACTGGGTTATAGAAAATTTGAATTGGGTTGTTGACAAAGATAGAGGAGAGCTAAGGAAGCAAAGAGGAAAAAAGAACATCACTGGATGAAAAGGACTAATTGGAGAGCACAGTTCAGGGACGAGAAGAGGAGACATGTGGAAAAGAAGGTAGAGGATAGTGGTAAAAGGATTCTGGCATATTTGGGTTTTCTTTTCTTTTTTCTTTGTTAATACAAATTGGTAACTAAACTAATTGCATATTGGTTTTCCCCTAATTTTTTTTCCTTTATATTGTACTTTTTAAATTTTTTATTATTTTCATTGTTCAAAATTTTTAATCCTATTTTTTCTTTTCTGTTTTTAATCATTTTGGACCCTTTAATAAAGAGGGCATTCCTATCATTTCATTACTGCTGTTGGTGAGATTCTAACGCTGTCAGTGATAAGGAGGTTATTCTAATTTGGTCAAATCTTGGGGATTGATTCGTAGTTTGGACAAACCTCAAGGGATGTAAATGTAATTAATCTTAAAAAAAAGCGTGGGGTGCTTTTAGCGGAAGCAACTGCTCATCTCTTCTTCAGCACAAAATATACCGAGGCAGAATCTGAAACACCCCGATGGCTCTAGTTCTAGCACTGCGCTATCTCCTCGTACACTTGCACCCAACTTCCTCAACCCGCAAGATTATTGCTTCCTCTTCCTTCCCGAAGCTCTCAATCCCGCTTTCCAAAAAGTTGTCTTCTTTCTTCTCTTCCTACTCTACTCCCTTCCCCTGCCTCCATGCTTCTCATAGAGGTAAAGCCCCTCCAGCTCCCCAAAATTATACTTATTTTTTTAAAAAATATTTCTCATGTGGGTTCTGAAGTTTTGATCTTTTTGTCGCAGAAAACACGTTTGTTTTGAATAAAGATGAGAGATTGGTAGGAGATGGAGTTGTGGGCTCTTATGAGCAGCAGCAGCAGCATTTTGGGAACTCAACCACCATTGCAGCCATTGTTACCTCCTTGGGTGGTCCTCCTGCCGCTGTCGGGATTGTTAGGTTATCAGGGCCGTCCTCTGTGGCTGTCGTTGGGCGTTTGTTTCGTCCAATGTCCAAAAAGAAAGGGAGAACTTCAATTTGGAGGCCTAAGAGCCATTTCGTGGAGTATGGTGAGGTCTTGGATCTTCAAGGGAATTTGATTGACGAGGTATAAGTTACTAATTGTCGATTTTAATGTCCATGTGATTGCTGCATTTCTTATAGTGATTGTAGTCTTTTGTGGAGTAGGGAAGCAATTGTTGCTCCTTTTTCTATTAACATGAAACATTCCTGCCATTTTTTGTTTTTGTTTTTAAATTTTCTGCAAATTTCTATGTTTGCTTTTCTGGAAGATTCACTCTTTCTATGATTTTGTTTCCTGGATATGGATTATAGCGTATTGATCAAATCAAAAGTGGTATAATTAGGTAGTTTGAATTTGTATATCAGCTGTTCGTTTAGTTGTGGAATAAAAAGGAAAAAAAAATGTTTGACTGATTTCATGTTTTTCAGCCATGGTCGCTATATTCTTAGGGCAAATTGCTTGTGTTGGTGACGTAGATTTTGTTGGCTGTGCTTTTACTTGATGGGAAGAGTGATTTTTTCATGCATAAATGGACATTCGTAACTTGGTGTAGGTTTTAGTGCTGCCAATGCTGGCCCCAAATTCATACACTCGGGAAGATGTGATTGAACTCCAATGTCATGGAAGTGAAGTTTGTCTGCGCCGTGTATTGAGGACTTGTGTAGAAGCTGGAGCAAAGCTTGCAGAACCTGGTTTGTCCTTACTTGTCACTGAATTTTTTGAGTTAATTATTTCTGTAGAATTAGTCTTGTAGAAATAGGGCTAAAATGGACTGATTACAAATTAAAGCTCTAGGTTGTAACATTTAAGGTGTAATTTATTTACTACAGGCACCTGAAGTACTTTTTGACTTCTTCTAGACTTTCTGAAATGTAGCTTATCTGTTGCAACTGGCTTTAACAATTTAGGCAAATTTTATTTCTCAAAGTTGCACTTGTCTGATTGAAGTTTATCTAATGATGGCAAGTTGAATTCCCTAACGGGTAGGCATTGATGTTTAACTTCACTAATTTATGCCTTGAAAACTATATTTTCTTGAAGGAATTTGAATCTGTGCTTAGTGTAGATGGTCAAGGAAGTAGTTATATGTCAATACTTATGATGTCAAGAGCAGTGAAGCTGTGTTTGGGTTGATCTATTGTCTACTCTGGATCGTATGGTCCTTGAGACCATGAATATTAGTTCTTAGTCAAGCTTCTAAAACGTTTTAGGTTATCCATTTGGTTCTTCAAAGGGTAGCATCTCATTGGTTCCTAAGTCATGTCATTGGTTCTTCAATAGCATATCAATTGGTGCTATTGAAATTGATTTTTTCTCCTGGAAGTATGGATCTCAACTGACGTGGAACTCATTATACTCTGTAGCCCGTCTGCAATAATTGTGCTAGTTGAACTGTTTAGGTTAAATCAGTACATGTTCAAGTGCCTCGTGCATTTTAAAAGAAGCTGTTGATCTATAAGTGGAATAGAGACAGTGCTCTAAGCTGATGCAATTATTGTCTTGACTTTATCAGGGGAGTTCACACTTCGAGCTTTTTTAAATGGTCGCTTAGATCTCTCTCAAGCAGAAAATGTGGAAAAACTTATCTCAGCAAAATCGGTGGCAGCTGCAGACTCTGCACTGGCTGGAATACAAGTAAATTCCATTAATTTCTGGTTTAATTGATAATTGATATTTTATTGGTTAGTAAATAGAAGATTCTTTTTTGACCAGAAATGCAATTTTAGATATTTCTTCCATTTTTTAAGCTAGCTGTAGATTATATGCATCATATGTGGTATGTCCAATAGTAGGCTCTCTGTGAAAATAAAATCCTTGTTTTTTAACAGGGAGGTTTCTCTGCGATGGTCCGAACACTAAGAATGAACTGCATTGAGTTGCTTACGGAAATTGAAGCTCGTCTAGATTTTGAGGATGAGATGCCACCCCTAGACTTAAAATCTATTGCAAGCAAAATACACATGATGTTGCAAGATGTGGAGAATGCATTAGAAACTGCCAATTATGACAAACTTCTGCAATCTGGGTTACAGGTATTGCAAGGATTTTGGGGTTTTTAACAAATCCTTTCTTGTTTGAGTAATAGAGCTGGGGAGAAAAAGTTCTTTTACTAAAATGTACATGAAAGCTTATCATCCTTTGTATGCATGGTACACATCTTTTCCATTTCTGTATCTTTCTTTCTTTTCCCCCCTTTTGATTGCTAAGCAATTCCCTGTCCTTCCTACAGTAATCAATCCTTTTTTTTTTGTGAAATATAGAAGAAATGTATTCTTGTGTTCCATCATCTATAATTGTTACTGTTCTGCTTTTGCATGATGGAATAAAAGTTGTCTACTTGACTTTAGATTCCTAATCCATACTTGAAAATAGACTTTTTAATTGTTGGGAATTCAACCTTTTTAAGGTGGGGAACTTATGCAATCTGCCCGTTCAACTCACGGCTTTTCTTGATGCTTCTATTTAAATTTGAACAACATCTTCATACTTTATTTATCAGAAAGTTAAGCTATTTCCTGTAAATCTTCTTTCAGATAGCAATTATTGGTCGACCAAATGTTGGAAAGTCTAGCCTTCTTAATGCTTGGAGCAGAGTATGTTCGAAATTCTCTTATTTGTTTCAAACTTTTGGTTTATCACTGAAGTACTTCTTAAAAATAACTACCGCATGATTTAACTTAAGGAATTGTTTGTGTCCATGCACAAAGGCTGAAAGCCATCTTTGACGCATGTACCTTAAATGTATTACAAATCACTCAGTTGTGCGTAATTGCTTTCAAGTTTTTACTGTGAAATTTTATGTAGAATTTTTTTTGTCAATGAACTTAAGAAATCTCTTTTCATTATCTTTCAACTCTTTTTCTTTTCTGCTTCTTTTTTTTTTGGTGGTTGGGGGGGGGGGAATCAACTTTCTAAGCTACATAGGTGGCATTCTCATGTAAGAATTTCAGTGCAGCTAATTCTTGACCAAGTTGAATTGATGCTGTATGCTTATTTAGTGAGAGAAGTTTTAGTGAGAAAATTAAGGAGTCAATGAAAGGAATAACCAAGAATGGAGATATCAGAAGACCAAGAGAATGACAAGAAAGAACAGAAATGTGTGGAAACTTGGAGAAGAGAGAGAGATAGTTACTAGTTAAGGGCAAGACTTTTTTAACTGCATAATTTGTCATTTGCATAGAATCACACATTTTTTCCACTATTAGCTGACTAATAATTGCCAAGATATCTTAAAATGATATCATCCCAAGCTATTGGCTTAACTTAAGAAAGAAAAGACAAAACGGTCAGAGCTTCTTGGTATATGACTAATCCCTGACATCTTATGAGCTCTAAGCTGCTTATCTTGAAGTGCTGGAGACTTTTGTCAGACAAAAAATCTGAAATAGTTAGAAGAATGCCATATTGTGTAGATCTGGGGAGAGGATGTGAGTTGCATTGCTGTATGTGAATAATGATCATTTTAGCATCTTGTTGTGATGCTCTGTCAACTGCTGATTGTGTATCTTGTTTACCTTTTAGCATGCAGAGTGAGAGAGCTATTGTTACAGGCATTGCTGGTACAACACGTGATGTTGTAGAAGCCAGTATATCAGTTCATGGAATTCCTGTAACGCTTCTTGATACAGCAGGTATCAGGGAAACTGATGACATAGTGGAGAAAATTGGTAAGTCCTGACAATCTTCCTTGCTAAGTTGTAATGTTAATGTTGCCACTAATACATCTCCTTTTGTACTTATACATTAGATTATTCAGCGTGGCTAACTTAGATTTCTGTCGTTCTTCTCTATCATAGTACTCGGAGATTTGCTTATGAATAGTTTTAATTCTGTGTCAAATTACGTGACAGAATGGCAATGATTAGACTCCTGATTTTATCTTTCTTGTGCAATTTCTTTAAAACTCAAAAACATGCTTGTTTACTTTTAAGATTTCATATTTTTCATTTGCTTGTCAGAAAGATAGTGAAACAAGTAAAAAATTGCTGGTTTTTTCATGCTGACTTGACTCGTCTGTCATCTAAGAACAAAGTATGAGTTACAAGCACTAGTCAAAGCCGATGAAAATTGAATTCCTGGGCAAATTGAGTGTTCTTGTCTATTGGCTTGTTTTATATAACCAGCAAGAGAATACCAAGTCACAGCGTCAACCGATGTTTTTACTCAAAGAAGCTATGCTAAAACAAGATTGCAACCTGCATTTGATTCACTTATTTTGTTCCTTGTGTGTGAAGACCTTTAGCCATATCAAGTGCCCATATGCTTCTTAATTTTTCAAACCAGAAAATAATGTTTATTTTAAGTTGGAAATGCTGATATTGTCATTCTTGAATTTGACTGTGTAACAGGTGTGGAATACAAAATACTCGTATGCAGTGGTGGATGGGATTCTATGAAAGTTAAAGTACAGGATTGTTTCGCCTGACTGCAAGAGACCTTATTTCTATATTGTTGAATTTCTGGCAATTTGTTTGTAATACTGTGGATGTGTGTTTTATGCGTTTGCACTGCTATGAAGTGATAAATATCTCCGTTAAGCTGATTATTATGGAAAATAGGAATTATCTTCAGTTCTTGTTGCAACCTTAGACTGGCATGACTGGATTATTGCTGGTAGGTACTTCGAGAGGAGAAGAGCTGGTCCCCTTATTTAATCCCACCGCTGAGATGCTCAGTTAGTGGAATACTTGTTTTTCAAACTATCACAAATCAGTTCCAGTTTATTGTCACGTTTTTGCTTCTCTTGAGTATGCATCTGAATGATGAGTTGCATGTCAAGATTTGGAATTTGGTAACCTTTCACATAGAATGCTTGCTACTTGCTTGGCTTGCATGATAAGTAGTTTTAAATTTGTTATCATGAAGCTCTGATTTAGGTATATGTATTATTCGTTAATCCATGGCTGTCAAAATTTAGTTTGGCATTCAATACTTAAACCAGAACCACTGTGCTCAGGTGCATGCCTACGATTCTGCCTTTGCTCAGCTGCAGGGGTCTTAGTGCTGTGCCCTATATGCACTTCTCGCTAACAAACCATGCTAGGGTAGCTTCCGAAATGATTGCGCAGAAATGGTGTTTCTGGCCTTCTGTCACGGTGCTATCCTAGATTGTTTAGGTTGCCAGAATAGTCTGTACAGAAAATATAGCTGTAATGATTAATCAACAATTTAGTTGGCAATAGTATTTATGAGATCCCATATGGGTAAGCCAACAGCAACTAATGCTGAGATTTCTTCTTCTGAGATTAAACCTCTGATTCTCATCGTTTGTTGTTTAATTCCAGGGTGCATCAGGATCTACCTCTCCAATAATCCTTGTTATTAATAAAATTGATTGTGCCCCAACTACCTCCTACAAATGGGACACTACAGCTACCTTTTTCAATAAACTTATTTTTACATGTGCTGTCACTGGACAAGGGATTACTGATCTGGAGGCTGCCATTCTAGAGATTGTTGGTCTTAACACAATTCCTGCAGGAGGTTGCAGATGGGCCGTGAACCAGGTTAGTTCCTGTAACTTTCTTTGCATGTGAAATCATTTCTACTTTCCTGTCTTTCATCTGCTCTGGGAAACTTTGACTTATTGCCATCTTAATTGTCTCTTCCAAAGTCTCTGGATGTTGGTTTCACAATGACCTATTATTTGTATTTGAGCTATATTTGTTAGTCCAGCGTGGAAAGAGAAGCCTTCCATTGCTTTCCATCACGAGCTTCTAGGGATCCGACTACGCATGATATAATTCAATAACCTGTTTTTATCTTAGAATATTCACCTTCTTGTATGTCTGGGCATGTTATGCAATTTAGTGCTAAAGATTCGAGTTTGGCTTCTGAATGGTTTGAGACCCCCCTTGGATGTCTGGACACTGAGTTATGTACTTTGTTTCCTTTGGTTACACTGACTTGTGTACTTCCAATATGGATTTACATTTTACAGTGTCATAACTTTTCTAATTTGTATCCCTTAAATGTTTTGTTCTGATTTTCAAAATGTTACTGATTGTCAGAGACAATGTGAGCAGCTTGTTCGGACGAGGGATGCTCTTGTTAGATTAAAGTCGTCAATAGAGGAGGAAATTCCGCTAGACTTTTGGACAATCGATTTGAGGGAAGCTGCTTTGGCCCTTGGGCAGATAAGCGGTGAAGATATTTCCGAAGAAGTTTTGTCTAACATATTTGGAAAATTCTGCATTGGTAAATAGTTACTTTAGTCAAAAGTTAAAACGACAGATTTGTCTCTTCAAACGTTTGCATTTCTTGAAGCTTTCGATATAAACTTTGCGATGATAATTAAAAAAAAAACACTAGGTTACATTTTTTATTTTTACTGCGTATTCAGTTTGTTGAATTATTCCATCACCAGAAAAATGACACTGATTAGCCAAAAACTACAGCGCAACAGCACAATTCTTTTTTTCCTTTCAAGACTTTGTCATTGAAAAGCATGCCAAGACTCGAGCCTTTGAGTTTCGTACGTCCTTTTCTATTACAAATATCTAAGGATTGTAAAGGGTCTAAGAACCGGCAATCTTCCAATACCTTACAACCCAAGGCACTAGCACATATTTTACATGCAAAGGTTCATGAAAAGTAAAACAAAAGAATGAAGGTAAAAGAATTAAAGAATTCAATCCAATATAGCTTTTCTACCCCTGCAAAACTATCTTATGGACTTGGGGAAGGAACAAAAAAAAATTTATAGTAAAAAGATGATGGAAGTATGGAGAAGAATGCTACAGTATATCACAAGTTCACGGATGGATAAATCGAGCCCTCATTCTGCATCCCCAACTTCCATCTTTCTGGAGTCTTCGCATTTGAGATTGTTTGCTCAATTCAATGAGTTGGCTTTCCCACTTGCTTCTTGGATGCCTTTCTGGGCATTGCCTCTCTTCCAAGCCTACCCCAAAGCTGCAATCATTTTCCAAAGCTCCATCCATCAAACTCCTATAAACCTCCTGCAACTCCACAAACATCTTGGTGGATTCTTCCTTCACGGAAGAATGACAAACATCAGGATGATACTGAAGTGCCATTTTCCTGTATGCCTTCTTTATCTCACTCACACTTCCACTACTAGACAGAACTTCATGACAGTTTATAGCCCTTTTCTGTCCACATTGTATGGTAGCTCTGCATGAAACAACGTTAAAATTCTGATGTACAGAATAGCTCATCATGATGCCGCTCCCTCTCTTTAATGTTGAGCTCAGGCAAGCATCCATGTAGCAATGAGACTAGCTGCTAGCCGGCTCTGAGAGGGTTTTTTTTTCCCATGTATATATACTAGTAGAAGTAGATAAAACTTGAAAGAACTTGGTCAAGGAATAACATAATAAAACTCACTGCTTCGATAATAATGTAACATGAATTGGTGTATATAGAGATAAGTAACAATAAAGCCAAAAACTCAGCAATTTCTGTCTTCTTTCTTGGTCATAAGGATCAGTTGCAATAAAGCCAAACACTTATAAATGAATGTTGTCAAAATCAAATTGTCTGTTGAGTTTTACGCGGAATTGCCGTACTGAGAATTAGATAGCCAAATTAATGATGTTGAATTAACCATCGGTCCATGCAGTCCAAACTAAACTCGACATGCATATTTTGTCTCCAAGTCATAAATGATTATTGATGTAGCACTTGTTTATGTTCTTGAAGACTGTTATATTAACCGTAATGGGTGTCTTGGACCCTGATGTCTACTATAGATGCCTGTCAGATACTTTGTCTCAAAACTGACAAACACACACATATATATATAATTATTTTATAGCCTCAAAACCCCTCCCTTTTGAAGATATTCCCTTCTCTCCAAAGATTTTGCATTTTTTTTTGTATAGTAATAAGAAAGTCCAATTACATACTTGCAATACCTTGATGGGTTAATTTGTTCCTGGTGTTTAACATATTATCCCAAAGAGAGAGCTTCAATACTACAATTTGTATTTAAATTGTTTGAGATGGTCTGGTCAACTTTTGCATTGTGTTTCGTCCTTCTTTCTGGTTATATTCACGGTGTCGTGTCTCAGGAAAATTATGGAACCATCGTACATAGGTTTTTTTTTCTTTTAATAATTTGTTGAATTTTTTGTTTTATAATTCATGATTTTCAAACACAAAGGACAATCAATAAAAATGGATTTTAACAAAATTATAGCCTGAAGAAGCATTGTCCCTTCGTGCATAATTCAATAGTAAAAGATACTTATTTCTTCTCATAAATTGAGTGTTCAATTCTCACTAAAAGATGTAGTAGCATTTTTCATTCTGGGTGGCTAGGACCTAAAACATGATCATATGTGTGTGCCTGTGATAAGAAATTAACACGAGACAGATGGGACAGAAAGTGATCTCAAGACAGAGGATTTGAAGCGCCCTCATAGGCATTATTAAACTTCAAAATGCTCACTTCATGCGAATTTGCTGGCCATATCCAGCCGTTTACGAGTTTTGAATACTCGATAACAAAAGTTAGTAGACAACTTAAATATGGATTGACAAGGGGAAATGACTGTGTTCCAGATTCACATTCTAAAACTTATTTTACAAGAACCAAGCAATACTGATTTTCCAGTCATAAAGGAATCTTCAATGAACCTTAGCTGTGGACGGTGGATCTTAAATCCTAGCTTCATTACGCGTTGAAGATTGAAAGAAGGAAATCAAATAACTAACACTTTTAACTATGTAGCACATTACTAGGTTGTATTTTCTTTTTCTTTTTTGTATCATCTTAGTCATCCAAATTCATGTGAGAAGCTGATATTTTAATTATCTATAGATCTATTATAAACTTTTTAACTGTTAAAATTTCTTTACAACTAGTTTGTATGAGCTCTTATTGCATAAGAGGAATTCTGACTTGGGCAAATCACATAGATCGATGCAAATAATTCTTTCTTTATAGAGTGCAAACAGTAGTGACGATGATGCATAGAAAGTGTTGCTCATTTAACCAATATTTGCAGTTTTCTTCTTGTAGTACTGTTTATTTATTGTGTAATGCACATAGATTCTTGTTATTGTTATTAATAAACAAGAACTTGCTAGACAACTTTTCTTTATTGGCGTGGAAACATTCTTGGTTTGATAAAAATGACGGTTCATTGCAATAAAAGTGCACATGCAACAAGACAAATGCCTGAATCAAAAGGATTGGACGGCAGCAAAATATTTGGCGGATTAGCCATGAGACAAAGCAGATTAGGGACAGCCTAATCCCATGCAGCTAGACTGTATAGTATAAAGAACATGAGATGATGGGCTTGAGCAGAACAATTTGTTAGGGTGTTCTTTGATCATAGGAAAGAAGTAGAGTTCTGCAATTTTCATTCCAAAAGGAGCTGGCAAAATGTGTTTCAACTTGAAGCAGCAGCAAACAAAGGAAGAGTTGGAGGAGATGAAGAAGAAAAAGAAACAAAAGGAAAAAGAGAAGGAGAAGAAGGCAGAGGAGAGAAAAGCCAAGGAGAAGGAGAAGAAGAAAAGAGAAGAAGCTGAGAGAAAGGAAAAGGAAAAAAGAAAGAAAGAAGAGGCGGAGAGGAAGGAAAAAGAGGAGAAGAAAAGGAAGGAAGAGAAGAAGAAACAAGCTGAGGAGGAAAAGAAAAGGAAAGCTGAGAAAGAGAAGAAGAAAAAGGAAGAGCAGAAGAAGAAGGAAAAAGAAAAGAAAGAGAAAGAAAAGAAACAACGGAAGAAGAAATGAATGTTATTTAATCATTCTTTTTTATGTGCAATCCATAAATTGTTTGTATTGTATCTGGTGTACGAGATTTTTAATAACTCGCTCTTCAAGATAAAGAGCAAAAAAATTGATAGGAAATTTAATCTAAATTTCCTCGTTTGAGGACCGCCAAGTTGTTATTTTCTTTGCTATGTAATCTTGACCAATTATTGCTTGCATAATGTAAAGCTCGTTTCCCCTTTATTAAATTGGACAAAATCATTTCGAGACTATTAAGTTGGTAACTGTCCCAACCTTGGGTTCCATTTATACAATGAGTAATTAAAAATTATTTTTTTGAATGCAATTTAAAGTGGATGAGCATCAGCGGACATTCAACACATATATTTGGACCATTTTATTCTTCTTCTCTCTCTTAATGTAAGTAATAAGAGTCAATGTTAAAAACATTACATTTTTGCAGGAAAGTGCTTGTTGCAATTCAATTTTCCATGGCAAATAGTGCAAGTACATTAAATCCGTTACTTGGCAAGGGGTGAGCAAATTCGGTTCATACCGAATTCATAATCAAATTCAAATTCAATTCGGTAATTTGAAATCGGGTATTTGGTAATTTGATACAAATTCGATACATACCGAATTCACCGAATTCTAATATGGTATGAAATAGGTAATGAGATTATGAATTTGGTAATAACCGATTTCGCATTCAAATTCGGTAATTGAAATAGGGTACCGCATTACCGCATTCGAATACCAAATTGGTATATAAAATTATATAATACTATTAGTATATATAGATAAATACTATTTAGTATTAGTATATACTACTAATATATTATTATATTATATAGGTAAATGCTATTAATAATAATTAGTCTATGGTATTATCATCATATCATGTACTTATAATAATAATAATAATATATAATAATGTACAATATATTATTTTAGTATTTGTTAATTGTTATATGACTATAATAATACAAATATATAGTAATACATAACAATATAAGATAACTACTTATTATTTTATACATGAGTAACATGACTAGAATTAGATAATAATTAATTTACATATATGTATAATACTAAATATTAAACAATAAACATAATTAGTAATTAGAATTTAGATATTGGTAATTTGATACATCATTGATCATTCATGTTTGAATTATTGAATATTTGAATGCGTAATCTATAACTTGCAAGTATTAGTGTGTTCTAAATTTATATTACATATTTAACATAAAAATTCATATTATCTATTCACTAATCTTAAGGCTTTAAGTATAGACAAGACAACTAAGCAGTGTAAGTGAATGCATGTGAATTGCAAATCAATGTATTAGTGTATTGACTTTCACAATAACATATGTAAGTAAATAAGTTTTATTTTGATTTGAAATAAATTATAAGTTTGTAACTAATATAACTTAACACTAATTATTGTAATTTGTTAGTTTATAACTAATATTACTTATTATTAATCATTGTAAATTATAAATTCATAAATTATCACTAATCATTGTACAGTCTAAGATTTATTCTAATTTAAATTAATCACTTTTTATGTGTTCCTTAAATCATTGATTAAGGATTCTAGGTATAAGTGATCAAGTAAATGCCAATTAAATTAAACCACAAAATGATTAGAACATAAGTAATGTGTTAAATTATGAATAAATTTGGAGATCAAATTAGTAATAATTTTTAAAAAAATCAGTTTTTTTTTAATAGATGAATTCTGTCTAACCGAATTCATTACCGTTTTCGAATTTGAAATCGATTTGCGGAATGAATTCGATTATAGCCAATTCGAAATTAAAAACGGTTTAAATTTCTATAGTTCGAATAACCAAATTCATTGCACTGAATTACCGCTTTTGCACTGAATGCACACCCCCATTCTCTTTTGACGCCTCGCAAGAGACTACACTGTTTTACTGCACAAATACTAGGAACGACCTTGTGCTTTGGACAGGCATCCAAAAACTACGGAAAGATTAAACTTTTTAACTACTTTGCATGTTACATTGATGACTCTGCTGCTTCTCAGGCTTTCTTAAAAGTACACTGCTTTGTAATAAGATGAAAGATGGTTTATGATCAGTTACATGTAATTTGTTCCGCTAACAATGAAATGATGATAATGAAATTGAAAATTCACCGCCAATGGCACTCTGTTTCTTCTCTGGTCAAAGAATGGAATACTACTAATATTTCTCTCAGACAAATTACACTATATACACTTTGCTATACTCACTGCTTTGGAATCTTACGTTTCCCTTTCAATATTTTTTGGACGACCAAAACCTGTCAAGTTTCATCTTATTAAGTAGACCGCTACTTGATCATTTTGCATCTTGCGCCAACCATTTCAAGCCACCATCATGGGGCTTTTGACATTAAAGCACGGAATTCAGTAGACTAATGATCAGCAATGAACTCATCCAAGGAGCAAAATGAGCTTTACTTTGGTGTTCAAATTCGACTATTGACTTGTTATGAATTGCTTGATCGATTAAACACTGCTCGTAGTTCGCCAACCAATTGTTCTCTAGCGGATGGCTCTTCTACCTGCATTGCATTCCAAAGATCAGCCCTCTTCTCAAAACTGTAGTAGGACATGAGAAGTAGAAAGGGAAAGAATTTATGTCACGTTACCTTCTGTAGCAGGGCAAAAAGACCTTGAGGTAGAGCACGCAAATCCAGTGCTGAATCACCGATCTTTGTTAATTGAAGCAGCACTTTCTGCACACGCAACTCCTGCAACTTTTCTTCGTAATTGCTGAAATCATCCTTCCATGAGAAGAAAGCCTCATCATTCGTCCAAGCATCTGGTTTACCTCCTGAAAACTCAGAATCCATAAACCACTTCTTTACCATATCCATTGCAGAGTTGTAAGTCAGCAGGTCGCCTGCAGCATCTCTTACTGTCCTTATCAGTGAGTCCTCAACAACTCTCCGGTACAATCTTCTATAGAAGAAAAAACGGGAATCTGCCCAATCTACAACTTTTCTGACTACCCCTTTTGCAGCCATTCTAAATGACGTATCATGCAGTTCTGCAAATTTTGTAGCAATCTGTGTGTAAACTGGCAAAAGCTGTTTTTCTCGAGCCTTTATCTGTTGCTGCAGGCCATCTACAGCTTCAGTGCTCTTCACCTCCTGAAGTTTTGCTTTTAAACCAATCAGCTGCTGATCAAGCCTACCCATGCATTCCAGCAGCTCTTTTGTCCGGAACTTAATCTCAATTAGACCTTCTGGCTCAAGAACATTTCCCTTAGCAGTTCGTTCTGCATACATCTCGATATGGTCAGGGTTGATCTTACTATCCACAACAACCCATGCTCCACCACGGAGCTCACCCATCATAGGTATGTATATGAAAACAGGTTGTTTATATGTTCTAAGGTTCTCGACAATATTCGATCCAGCTTGAAGGATGCCTTCAAAAAGGTCCCTCTGTCCGCCTGAAAAGCCTCTCCAGTTTGCAAGAATGAAAAGTGGCAGCTCTTCCCTGTTGAAATCAATTAATGCTTGAGCTGTTTTTGTGGCAGAATCAGGAAACCATACTTGGCCTGCTTGAGGGACAATCCTTTCATGGGAATCGAGCTGCCCAGGATCTGCAGGGATGACTTGCATCATCGTTTGAGTCTCAACAGCAACTATTCCTACGGGGATTCCTCCAAGCTTTGCCCTTCCAGTAACAACAGTTCTTGCCCAGCCTTCCAATGTTTCGACAAAGCTGTCCCTGTCGAATATCCCCCCCAACCAGTTTCCACTGCCATCTGAAGCACCACATATAGCAGCACGTGGATCGCATGAATTGTCTGGCAGATATTCAACAGGTCTCTCTGGAGGATCCAAGGGGGGCAACAGTGGAAGTGGACCCCCTGAGTAAGGAGGAATGAAGCTCAACCATTTTAAAACAGCTGATACCCCTTCAAGATCATCTGAAACTGTCAGATGAACTACTCCATTGGTTGCCATAATTTTTGGTCCACCAAGTTGCATGTGGGAGCTATATACCTCCCGACCCAGAAGCTTATTTAATGCCGAAAAACCAGTCAGGATAATAGGCTGATCAAGCCTTTGTATGCACCGCATACCTAGCCGAGCAAGATAAGCACCTATGCCCACTGTTCTGCCTGTCACATATGTTAGGGTGAAGGTTTCCTTGTATGCTCGTGAGTATGCACTGGCAATGGCTCCACTGCCGCTTAAGTTCTCAACCCCTAAACCATCCTCTTTCCCCAAAATGGAATCTATTACCCACCGTGATTCTCCATTAGTCATTTTTGTTTCGTGTGCTATTACAGATGATCCGATCCGAGCATAATCTTCAGGAGTTAAATATACATACTGGAAGCCGCGCTCAGGGATTGATTCATCAGACCACCCCACTCTGAAGCAAGATTTTACTTCTTCAGCGACACCAATACGAGCACCAGAATTGGCCGCCAAGTATATTAAAGGCAGTTTTAGACTGCAGGCGACCTCAGTCACTGCTTGGAAAAATGCATCCTCCCTCGGGCCAAAGGATCCATTTTTAAAGGTCACATCATTTGCTATAACAAGAATTGTCCGTCCAGAAGGAAACTCAGGTGTAGACATTTTCATGCTCCAGGCTACCATGCCAACATCATTGAGCCCAGGCTGCCGCTCCACAGAAACAAGAGGAGTACCCCAATTACCTCCAGTGTTAGCAAAAATTAACTCTGTCACTTCGAGGATAACTTTATCCTCAGGCCTTTTATGCCCTAAATGTTGGCATGACCAAGCCATCTCCAAGGCAGCTTTAAATGCCTGTTAAAGAAAAAGTTGTTTAGTGAGGACATAGTGATTTTTCTATCTTGAAACAAGAGTTATAATCTTTACCAGCGGGAAATCATAGCAGTAAGTGGTGTTGCTTTTCCTGGCTAAAAGGCGTTTCCGATCCAATACCCCCAAAGGCTGATATGATGCATTAACAGGGACACCGTGCAAAGGGCCCCTCTCAGTTATTGTATGGTAGACAACTTTGTGTTCAGTAGGGTCTTCCACTTCGCGGTATACCTGAGCATAGATATATAACATTAAGACCTTAATTTAATTTACGCAATATTCATCATCTAACACTAATTGCAACCACTGTTGCCCAAAATCAGATGCACATCGGTTTGCACAAGTAACAAAAAACATAATTATAACTTAATGTAAGGATATGCATGGACAAAGATGCCTCTAACTGCTCACACTGCAAAACCATATTTTTATAACTATATGCAAAAGTCTACCCGATTTACATGATTAAATTTACCATTATTAATAAATTCATTAAATTCAGACATTGCATCTCTCGTAAAGTTACGAACTTTTAGATGTTTGTAGTCTGCCCGTAGGCTATGATAACTGTCATTTAAAAAAAAAAAAATCGAGTAGATCTCCAGACAATTGCTGATCACTTGCTAACAGCAATTGATGCACAGTAGCTAACTTACATGCACAATACAAGTGTGTCCTGTCACATTTGCAACAACCACCCTCCAAGCACCATTTGCTTCTCCTTCAGATGATATCCAAAGCTTCACCTCCCACTGACAAACACCTAAACGATGCATTCTCACACCAATAGATGTATTAATCTCATGTGCCAGCTCTTGCAAGATTTTCTCAACTATAGCTTCCTCACACCCATCGTTAATGTCCACCCTCCTGCAAACAATGTCTTGAAGTTAGATCTTCTTTGAATATATTTGATCTGCTTTCAGTTGTAAGAAACTTATCAAGAAGAAATGTGCCTACTTGTTGTAGGGTAACAGATCATCTATTTGTTGCTCCTGTAAAATATAAAGATACATATGAGCATGGTCAGATTTGACAGTAGTATTATGGACATGCAGTTCAAGTTCCTCCATTGCAGACACCAGTGACCGCAAAATGCTCCTTGATGTAAACGATATAGCCCACAGAGATTGACTCCTTTCCTTGTCTAATCCTTGATAAACTGTTAAACTATCATTTGATGTAGGCTGCCTGACAAGAGTTCTGAGATACATTCTCTGAACTGGAACAGGCTTATCCACAACTGTGTACAGATGCCACTGACGGTCACGGGATGGTGTATATTGTATTTTGTCATAACCCTTAAGTTTGTCCTGTTCAGATGGGAGTTAAGTCAAATTTATTGCAAACAAGCAATTAGTTCTGCTATTTCCTCATTGATTCTTAAAAACAAAAGGCAGAAAAAGAACAAAAATTTTGGAGGCAAAGACGATGACAAACCAGTTCAAGGTATGTGGATAGAGGAGGCTCCAGGTGGCGCAATAGAGGTTCTTCTTCATAATACTGTTTTTCTGCTGACCAGTGAAAAGAGTGCCTCATTGGGCCCCGACCTTCATCTCTTTGTATGATACAGCTGATTACGCCTACACCTGCACTTCTCAGACTAAAGCTTACTTCTTGTTCTCTTAATTTTTTTGCCAACTTGTTTATTCTTTCTTGAGCCTGATCTTCATCACCACTGCAGATGAACCAAATGCACAATAAGAATAATCATTCACATCAAGCATGAATAAGTAGAATCTTAACCAAATTTAGAAAGGAGCATAAATAAATCATTCTTATCATGTCAGGTAACAAATGCAGACCAATAAAATGTTTAGGGAACTATTCAGGCAAAAAGAGGAATCAATTAAGTAGGATTTTTGCATTTGCCCATATGGAGAATAATTTTCTTCGTATGTGTTGTAGAAAATGATCTTTCTGCATGTTGAGTTTGCCTACCTACAGTTAAGGACTAAAATGTTTTCTCAGATAGGTAAAAGCACCAATTTGAGGTCATCATTTGCCTATACCTCCTGATGAATCAAAAAACTTAATAGATTAATTAAGTTAGCTGAATCAACACCATTTGGCTGCACCATATGCTTGCAAGTCTTCCATTTCACATGTGCTCAAGTCAAGAAAATTTTAGCAAACTTGCATCCTCTCTTTTTTTCCCATTGTGTCACTGGCAACGCAGCGAGTAATGGAAAGGAGATGTTTGGTTACCTGTCCTGAAGCATACTCATCTGGTTGTTAATGCCCACCAATGCAATGTGCATCATGTTACCATGGCTAGCTGGTAGAATAGATCCCTTGGATGTTGTTGTCTGCGGACTGTGTGTTGTTTCCCTTAGTGCAGCAGTTAAAATTGTTGGCAGTAACTGGAAAGACTTGATGATAACCATGGCTCCCCATTTCCTATCGCTATGTTTCTCAAGTAATGGTTTCTCTAGTGTCTGATCTTGATACCAGTTCTTCCTCTCTATATGCTCTTCCAGGAACTCCCATGAAGCAATAAGTCCAGATCTGTGCCACTGCATTCTAACACTACCTTTTACAAGATAGGGCTGAAAAAGATGTTAATGTTAGAGAAAGCAAAGTGAAGAAAATTTATGTAGGGAAAAAACAAGAAGTTGAGCTATAGTACCTGGTACAACCTACGAACATAAGTTTCTACAACCCTCCTCTGAAGCGTGTGATCACTATGATCAAAAAGACCAACTAGAGCGTCTTCAACTGCTAAAGGAGCACTTACAAGTGCCTCCATTCTTTCATTTATGGCACTTTTTCTCTTTGGAGTATCCATGTTTTCACCATCTTCAGTAAACATTTCTAACTCAGAAAGACTTCTGGCAATGTTAGAGCGAAGTTCACTCAACTTTGTTTGCTCAAGCAATTGACTTGCCTTTAAAGCTAACTGCAAAAGCACATTAAGGTTCAGATTCTTGAATCTTTCATGTCTTGCATATTAAGTGAGTTGAAGTCCAACCTCAGAGTAATTGGTATGATTGAGCGTTGAGAAACGAATTAGTTTATCCCTGTATGCAGCAGGATTTGGATATACAAGTTGTTCCATGAGACGCAATATCAACTTGTTCTTGCTCTTGATACCCTGTAAGGTCGCATGGTTTAGGAACAATCCTTTACAATGACAGACCGCCAGAAACAAGCACAGTATACCAATTCAGTATTTCCGATATACCTGATGAGAAAGAACAATGTCCACAACCTTCAACAGATCTTTCTTATGCTGAAGGCGAAGCCGCTCAATTACATCAGCCTGCAAAGGAAAATGCATTGGAACTTGATACTGACTAAGGGTGAAATAGAAGGGTGGATATCTGACATTTCAAGCAAGCTTCTCATGATTTATTCTTTCAGCTTTGGATCACAAAGACAATCAGAGACCAGCAAAGCATAGATTGCCAAAAATGATGCATACTGGAAAGGTGGCAACCAAACTGTTTTTCATATAATTTTCAATTTTCCCTATTCTTCTGATGGGGGTTGTGTTTTGGGGGCAGGAAGAACTGAAGCAGAGCTGAAAGAAAGCTTGATTATATCAGTTTCCCGTATATAATATATGAAAGGCTAACCAATACATTACTGAAAGACTGTATTTTTCATGCAAGTCTCACATTGCCAATGCAATGCTTGTCTTTATGGGAGAAAGCAGGATATTAATGTTAATCTTAAATAAACTTCTGTTCCAAAAGAACAAACCTGGATGTTGTCACTAAATAGTTCTTCAACAGATAAATATTCTTCAAACAGAGATTGAACTATAACACGGGCATGACTTTCTCTTCCACCTTCATAAGATTTGACAAGAATGAGTAATGGTTCAACTAGTCTATCCTGAGCTCCTTTCTCTTTGTCAGGGCAGGACATTTGGTGGGCCTAGATTGAAAACAATAAATGAACAAATGAATGACAGACAAAATATAAGCCGTTGAAGGATGTCAAGTTTCTGATAAAGGACCAACCTCAATTACACCTCGGAGAATTTTTGCAGGAAAGTCAACATTCTGCAAGTTCGAGATACCTTCATGCTCCTTGTATTTTGCTTCCAACTAAAAAAGTTTGTAATTTAGAAGCAAATAAGATCCAGAAGAGCAACCAGGTACTAACATTTGGGAAAACATGATTACAGAAGAATAGGGCATTTACTTCATGTCTAAGCTCCTTGGGAAGTCGATTTGCCAGAACAGCAAAGCATTCTTGCCATTGAAGGAAAGGCAACTCAGGATTGTCCAGGCAGCTTAACAAGTTCTGAACCACCTGTAATGTGCATGAATATGATTAGGAAAACCATACATTTTAGCAAACCTATATAAAATATTTCTTCTCCATATAGCCCAGAAGATGGATCTATTAGACGAAGGCCTAGCAAATACTAGTCATAATACAACTAAAATATTCCTTTTCCATAAAGCCAAAAGACTTCTTACTTCACCAAAGTTATGCTCGTATCCTGCAAGAATCATCCGAGCTGCATTCAAACTTGCAGCACACCTTTGATGAACTTTTCCCGAGATAGCAGTTGGTGGTCCAAGAACTGGGAAACTCCCATGGAAGGGTTCTGCTTTTCTTACAGCAGAAGGATCATCCAGGTCAAGTCTTGCTATGAGTTCACCAGCCTACCCATAAAATAGAGTTTTAATGACAAGGGGAAGTAAATAAAAGAGACTTCTATGTACAATTGGTTTACCTGCATAGCTTGACCATCCGACATCTTGAAATGGATAATTCCAGAGGCAGGTGAGAGAAGGGGCATACACATCTTCATGACCTCAACCTCTGCATAAGGCGTGTCAGCATCAACACGGCTGCCATCAGCAACCAAATACCTTAGCAACTTGCATGGTGTCTCTGCTACCAACTTTGATGGATCATGATCATTCTGGAGACAACCGGAAAATAGACCTCCACTATCAAGTCATGAGAAATCAAACATTTTGTAAGAAAGTAGAATTAGATTTTGGTACCTGAAGCAAGCAAGTCCTCCCATCAATTAGAAGGCGAGTCCCAGCTGCTTCCTCCTCCGCATATATAACATGACTGTTCCCATCCAGCTGAGACATTTCAAAATGCAATACATTAAGTATCATGCCAAGTAAAAACCATTTGCAACATCCAACTCATATATCCATGCACTAGGTAATAAGTCAGTGCTAATATGGTGGGTAGCCAATGCAAGGGTCGTATTAAAGCACTATGTTTAACAAGAATCCTTGCCTGCATTAATAAACCTCCGTCCCGCAAAGTATGTATTTCTGCTTCAATCTCTGATTCATTCATCCTCAATTTGTAACTTCCTGGTCCACCTCTAACCATACTTATCTGAGAAACAACCAGAGATTACAAGAAGGTGGAAAAAATAAAAATAAAACCTTGAGTCAAAAATAAAAGAGAAATTGGCAGGAAGAAATATCACATTCATTTCTCCTGAACTATTTAAAGAGATCAAATGTAAGCCTATCCACCCTTTTTGCATCACTCTTATCAGATAACTCAAGGTCGATGTTAATGACCTAGCAATTTTGTCATGCTGTAACGCAATACTCACCATGTACTTGCTTCCTTCAATGTTCAATGAAACTTGGGAGTTGACAAGTGAAATATGCTGCAAGTAGGAAATAGCCATCAATGATGAAACAAAGAAGATGTACATGCTCGAACTAAAAAAGTGGGATAGGCAGGTACCTTTGGAGGAATTTGTCCTTTTTCAAGATAACCAATATATTCTGAAACCACAGCTGCACTACTAGCAGAAGCTTTCTGAATTTGAACAAGGTAAAAATATAATAATAAATAAATAAAATACAGAGGAATGATGAAGATGTTGTTCAGAAAATATATTCTCCAAATAAACCTTCAACATCTTTATACTAAGCATTTGAAAGGAACACTTACATAAAGAGCACCTCCAACCACAGACAGATACCAAGGTGGCCTTTCTGCTCTAACCCTCATTGCGATTCTACTGTCCAACCAGCCAGTGTGGATTCTATTCTCTCTATAATCTGAAGCCTACAAAATCACTAAAATATTCACTACCATCTATTCAGTTGACTTAAAAGAAAAACAGATAATTCCATTTCAAAAAGACTTACATGTAATAGATCAACTGTGTAATCGACATTTGTACGAATCTCTCCTCGAATTTGTATTTCCTTCAACCCAAGAACCATGTTTGCAATAGCCAGGGCTCTTGACTCTCCAAATGCAAAAACATGTCCTGGAAGATAATGAAACAACTTAATTTATATTCAAAAGTACAAAAAAATGCCCTTCGTTTCAGATGGATAATATGTGAAAGAAAAAATTTGAGGTAAAAATTTCCATTACGATCCTACAGCTTTAGACAATTTATATACATTCGATAAAACAAGCACTAAACAGAATAAACAGATTACAGGGCCTTCAGAAAATCTAAGGGATGGACAGTTCTCTCATTGTACCATATGGACTTACAAACAAAAGACTGAAAGACCTGAATCAGGTCAGCCAGAAAGAGCCCATACAAAAATTGAAAGTTCGCAAGTTCTCTTGATAAATGCTCTCCTGTTTGAACATCAACTCTACAAGGCTTTGGTGAGTTAGACAGAACCATCGGCCACTGGTTTATTCATACCAGCTAACATGGTGACCTTTTCTGTGTTCTCATATAGTTCAACGTGATATCCATAGAAATAACTGATAGAGTCAGGCTTGTAATCAAACATTAAATTCTTACACAAGACTCAGGCTTTTATAGGCATGAAATGATCTCATCCTCCTCAAAGACATAATTGAAAATTGGGATTTTATTTACTTTGGGTTAAATTATGAGCATTATGACTCTTGACAGCATTCAAAATCAGTCTAATAATTTTGACACACATTACAATGCAGGCAAAACATATTCACCCACTAGGGTGCATGTGCAGTTCTGTTACACTAGACAGCCTCAGAAGGCTTTGACTTACCAAATTGAGAATCAGAAAATTCATGGATACCTCCTCCAGACTGCAAGAATTATGTTGTTAGTCAGTCAACCATTGATACATATAAGAAAAATCTTCAGTGTCTTAAATTTCTAAGAAGTACCTTGACAGAAAAGTATGCCCACACGTTTGGTTTGCTTTTAAAACTCAGCTCCTGCAGAAAATTTAATTTAATATTACTGTTATACCAAATCGGATTATATATGTATGTATGTATGTAACTACCAAAAATCTATCACTTCCAACCTGTACTTTCCCACTGGTAGGCTTAAAACCATCATCAGGATCCTCACTTGTAACACGAACAGCAACACAATGACCTTTCGGCCTTGTAGACGCTGCCTGGTCAAAATCAAATGGAGTAGCAACAACTGATGTTCTCCTCCAAGCATCGTATCCAGCACCATGCTCCATCCCATAGAAACGCCTTATTTCTGGTAAAATTACTATCAGGAATCCAATTGAGAAAGATAAATGACATGAAGACCTTTTATAAACTTAGGTAATTTGGTACTGAACCTGGAACTTGCCATAGAGGAATACCCATCCCAACAGCGACTTGGGCTGCAGGAAGATTTACTTCAGCTATCCACTCAGTCACCGGGTGCTCCACCTAAATATCAAGAATACAGTAACATTCAGGAAACCTAACTGCCAAAGCCCCAATATGCCACATTTGAAATCTAAGATCTTATCAGATTTAAGCCACAGTTGACATTTAAGAATAAACAAGAAAATCAAATCTTAGAAGAGAAACTCGGGAAATAATGATACATGAAAGTATGTCAAACCTGTAACCGTGGATTGAGCTCCAAGAAGTAGTACTCCCCAGTTTCCATACTGTAGAGATACTCAACAGTTGCTGCTCCTACATAATTAACACATTTGGCTAATCTTCTAGCAGCCTGCTCAAGTTTTTTCACAGTCTCTAAAGGAGCTACAGTTATTGGGCCTTCCTCAATAATCTGACAACAGGAAAAAGTAATAGTTAGTTTTCATATTCCAAATGACTCCCAGTGTTTCAGACAATTATCTATTAACCTAAAATGTTTTCCTTACGTCAAATGCAAATGAAGTACTCCAAATTCTTTTCTCAATACTTTACAGGTGGACCTGAATATTACAAAGTTGAGTTTCAAATTTATAACACAGACCTGATGTTATAATGCTGCTTTAAAGACTGATTACTCTTTGTTTGAATAGACAAAGAAAGACATGTTCAATTAACTCACATATATACTTGTAAACTACTAGGAAAGTTAGAGAACCTGAGTCACAAAAAACAAAGAGATACAGATCAGAAGTCAAGAAAAGTACAAGCGCACCTTCTGGTGTCTCCTTTGAACACTACAATCACGGCTGTGAAGAGCTGCAACATTGCCATACTGATCACAGAGCAATTGGACCTCTAAATGCCGGCTCTAATAGCATGAAACAGCCTCCGATGTTAGAATGACTTCTAAAGATTAAAACTTAAGCATCAAGATCACATTATGTGGAAGAAAATATTACCTGGGAAGCAACCTTCATAATAAATATTGGGGATCCTGGAACTTCACCCTGTACTTGCTTGAACAGTGCCTTAACTTCATCGTCATTATGGACCTATAAGTCAAAATGGCAATTTACTATTGATTAATGATGTTAGAAGAAGAGATGGCAATAGAGTGTCAACCTTGTTGCTTTCAGATAGAAATCCACTAATCTTTTCACCATAATTTCAAAAATCACTAGAAAGGAAGTGGTACTTATGACCAAAATTAGCTACACAAAATAACTATTCGAGACCTAAAACTCAAAAAAAGGGATCACTGCATCATTTGTAATATTAGGTAACAAACCTTTCTAATGCCTTTACCACCACCACCCCAAGATGCCTTAATCATTGCAGGGTATCCCACAACTTGACAACTAGCAATTGCTTCTTCTGTGGTGTAAACACAAGCTTCACTATATATATCTTCGGGAATAGAGACCAAGCAGCTTTCTGGAGGAATTTTCACCTAAAAGGCAGATACCATTTATTATACACAATACCAGGTCAGACATTAGAAGAGCAGAGCTTATGAGGCAGAGTACAAAAGACTTTACATGAGAACCACTCCATGGAAGGGTAGGTACTTCAGCAGCTTGTGCAATCAGTGATGAACCAATTTTATCTCCCAAAGCACCCATAGATGTGGCAGGAGGCCCAAGGAATATTATGCCTTTTGCACCCAAAGCATCTGGCAGTTCGGGACTCTCAGATGCATGACCCCATCCAGGCCAAACTGCATCTACATGTGTAATCTCTGCCATCTAGAAACAAAGAAGTTAAATTGCTCATCAGAAATTTAGATGTTTTTGATACTTATAACAAAAAAAATCTCTAAATCACCTGACATTTACCAAAAATCCATTTCATCTCAAAAGACATCAAGATCATCTAGGTACTCCCCTGATTCTATTTTCTCATTCCTCCACCTTGAGAACCCCAGAGTTCAAAAACTCTGAAGAAAGAAACACTTTGAAAACCATAATTTTGCAAATGATGGGACACCATTAAGCTCATTTAGCTATCAGACTAACCATTCAGCAGTTCTTGAAGTGTCTCAACGTAGATAGGTTGCATATAAACACATTTATCATGCGTTCCTCGATTTGTATGATAAACTATTTTAAGCTAAGAAACAAAAAGATAGGTACAAACCTCAACTATAAGCTGAACATTGGCATAGTTATTATTGTTGGTTCCACCAGGTACTTCTACAAATTGATCAGCTATCCGTATATGCTCTGCATTTATTTTCATGTCCTCCGGTGTAGCCATTGCAACTAGCAAAATTGCCTTCTCTGTGCCAAATGTCTCATAAGCCCATGCTCTGATACTCCTTATAAACTTAACAGCAGCCATTCCATTGTTTGCAATTAAGATACTATGGATTGGTCTCTTTCCACTAAGTGCACGACAGAATTCATCAACAATAGACACAGTACTGGGAGACCTAAATGATATTGCACCATTCATGTACCCATTACTGTGATTAGTACCACCCACCAAAGGCTGCCTTTGGGCTTCTGACATGCTGCACCACCTGAAATGGGACCAAAAAAAAAAAAAGCTTTTGCAAGGTTAAATATCATTACAAGGCACGCAATTAGCCTTCATCAACTTCATTCAGATCATTAATGACATTGTATTAAACCACCAACACTTGGTTAATAAAAACACACAATCTATATCCACGTAACAAGTTGGTATAGGACTTGTTTATAACTAGGAAGGTATTACACATTTTAGAAGTTACGAACTAAAATTTATGATTCAAATGCATAGAAGCTACTCTCCAATTTCTTAAGGAAGTATGGAAAGTACGATCCTAGCCTTCACCCTATTCTTTGATAGTGCCTGTGTGTGGTGGATGGATGAAAATAAATTTGAGTTACTTGTCTGCTTGCATCCATCTCTCTCTCTACATCAAAAGGAAAATAATAATCCATAACTTGTTCAAATGCAGCAAAGCAATACGAAGCTCATGAAAAAGCAACTTTAAATATGACAAAAAACATGTCAAGCAAATTTTATTACTTTCTGACTTTATATTACAAATTATTGCTCCAATTGAAAAGAACAGCCATGCTGAAATGGAGAAGAGTCATCAACAGAATCCATTCTTTACGTTCAGCAGCATCATACCAGAACTACCACTTTATAACGTCAAAACTCATTGATTAAATGCAGCTATTCGATATCACACAAGCAAATGATCCAGGTAAAAACACTATAGCAGAAAATTCAAACAAACATAAGTATCATATTGAGCTAATTGGGTATTCATATAACGTATTCAAATTCACAGAAGCAATACCATCCCGTAAATGCAACTAACAACGACAAAGTTGAGAACTCTCTTTATTCCCCAATACTCGGAGACAATTTGAGCTAAGTTTCCAGCAAAACAGTAGAACCCAAATCAGAACAAGACACTTGCTGCATATGAATTTTATAGAAATACATAAGTTCTCAGCCTAAAATCTGCCAAAAGAAAGATTTGAATTGAGGAGACTGACCTTAAAAACCCGCCCAAAAAGCTCCAAACTTTGAGAAACGGACAGTCAAACAATTCAATCTAATTGGCTTCTGGGTAGCATTATCTTCAAGAATTGGAGTTGAAATGCACTGAAAACTTCTACAGACACCAGAAGGCGAAAGCACAAGTCTGGGATGCAGTCAAATTCTACGTAGTTGAATTAAAATTTAAAAATTTGTGATGCTTCAAGAGAGAGGAGGGACAGATGGGGTGGTGATGACAATGCACTGGTACTAAAAGGTTCTTGGTCTTGGGTTGAAGATAAATGACATGAAGACCTTTTATAAACTTAGGTAATTTGGTACTGAACCTGGAACTTGCCATAGAGGAATACCCATCCCAACAGCGACTTGGGCTGCAGGAAGATTTACTTCAGCTATCCACTCAGTCACCGGGTGCTCCACCTAAATATCAAGAATACAGTAACATTCAGGAAACCTAACTGCCAAAGCCCCAATATGCCACATTTGAAATCTAAGATCTTATCAGATTTAAGCCACAGTTGACATTTAAGAATAAACAAGAAAATCAAATCTTAGAAGAGAAACTCGGGAAATAATGATACATGAAAGTATGTCAAACCTGTAACCGTGGATTGAGCTCCAAGAAGTAGTACTCCCCAGTTTCCATACTGTAGAGATACTCAACAGTTGCTGCTCCTACATAATTAACACATTTGGCTAATCTTCTAGCAGCCTGCTCAAGTTTTTTCACAGTCTCTAAAGGAGCTACAGTTATTGGGCCTTCCTCAATAATCTGACAACAGGAAAAAGTAATAGTTAGTTTTCATATTCCAAATGACTCCCAGTGTTTCAGACAATTATCTATTAACCTAAAATGTTTTCCTTACGTCAAATGCAAATGAAGTACTCCAAATTCTTTTCTCAATACTTTACAGGTGGACCTGAATATTACAAAGTTGAGTTTCAAATTTATAACACAGACCTGATGTTATAATGCTGCTTTAAAGACTGATTACTCTTTGTTTGAATAGACAAAGAAAGACATGTTCAATTAACTCACATATATACTTGTAAACTACTAGGAAAGTTAGAGAACCTGAGTCACAAAAAACAAAGAGATACAGATCAGAAGTCAAGAAAAGTACAAGCGCACCTTCTGGTGTCTCCTTTGAACACTACAATCACGGCTGTGAAGAGCTGCAACATTGCCATACTGATCACAGAGCAATTGGACCTCTAAATGCCGGCTCTAATAGCATGAAACAGCCTCCGATGTTAGAATGACTTCTAAAGATTAAAACTTAAGCATCAAGATCACATTATGTGGAAGAAAATATTACCTGGGAAGCAACCTTCATAACATGAAAATATGCTACCAAGACGCAGACACTCACACAGAGGGAGAGTGCTTAGCCAATGCCTTAACTGATGTATACATATGTAAATCTTCTCGGTAGCAATATATTTATATGCACATTGATTTACAATGTCATGACGTGCATGCTCCTTTATGATTCTGATAATTCATCGACTACAGAAGCAAAATGTCTATGCATTTGTGTGTATTCTCCCTGAAAAACGTATTGAGGATTGGTTTAGTCTAAGGCACATGTTAGAGAAGTGCCCAGAGGAAATATTCACCTATCCTCTAATGTTGATTAATTTTCAGTGACCACCACACGCCTGAGTACAAGTGGATGAAACATTACCCCTATGCCATCTAGACAAAGAAGTTAAAACTGACCTATGTTTTTAGTAGGTAGTGACTACATTCGAATTATAAAATAGAACTTTGCCTCACAAAATGGTGTTGCTTTACATCTGAATGAGAATGACAAGCTTGGATTTGAGAAAAGATGCATACTAGTAACTACTGCATTATGACAAATATGGGCCCCAAGAGACAGAAAAGGCTTGCAGTTCAAGTTATAGACAGTTTAGATAATAACTAGAATGTGCATTTATATACCAACCTTAGCTGATATGCACTCTGCAGCTTAGCTTAATCACATAGCTAAAAAGAGAGCCTAAAAGCAGCCACCACAACGCACATTGCCATATGAATGCATTTTCAGAGGAAAACTATTTTCTTGTTCCTTTTTCCATAATTAAGAAGAACAAACGTGCTAGTTAGATCAAGCAAGTCTTTCAGAAACCTACCTTTGGAAATGACTCTTGGATTGATGCTTTGCCCTCAATGCTTCGGCAAGCTCCATCTCCAATGCAAGCACCCTTTCCAATGCATTACCAGTATTTGAAATTTCATTGTACAAGGGGAATATGCTTCTGAGTTCTTCATTGGCCTTTGCAAAAGAAAGATAACAGAGCAACAAATTACTAATCAAAAGAATATTTAACTGTTTTGTGAAAGCAGTCAATTCACCTTCAGAACAATATTCAAGAAAAAGTAGAGAAGATAATAACCTTGTCCAAACACATAAGCTCACTCCGTAAATTTTGGCAATCTGAGTCAATATGGAGATCATTGGTAAAGAGGGAATTCTCATTTTTCATCCTTTCGAGCTGCAAGCAACAAAAAGAAGTCATGCCAGTTACTATGATAAAAATCCTGACTTGTACTCTTCCAGAATGAGTACGAGATTCATGAATTGAAACTAAAAGTCTTGCCTGTTCATGTAGGTGGTTAATGCTGGACTGCAAGCTATCACTACAAAGATAATAGCTGTTTTGCTTTACATGGCTTTGCTGCAACTCTCTTTCAAGAAGTGCATGTCTAGGAGTTTCATGCATGACTTTATATACAGCATCATCCTGGATGACCCATACAAACTTGCTCAAAGACCAGAAAATATAATGCATGAACTTGAGGATGAAAATAGCTACTTTGGATCAGTATATGTTCTGGTTCTAGAACTACAATGATTAAGTGGGGCAAAATAATTGTACTACAATAAGTTAAAAATGGATTCACTCTATAACAACAATAATGGAGGCATACTTAAAATTTTGTGACCTAAAGATCCATCACCGGAATAAAAGACCATGCACAACTCTAACTGACAGAGAAAAGTTTCAATGTACAAATATCACTATCTAAATTCTTTGCTGTACGCTGCACATAAATGGCATCTACAAGAAAAGGTATCAAGTTAGTAACTATCAGTGTGAGCCTGAGATCGATTAATTTCACTTATAACCAACTGAATAACCATGACCATACATAATCAGAGATCATACCAAACGCGCAATTCATTGGAGTACTCATAAGAGATATGCTAGCAGCAGAATCGGTTTTTGATCAGGATTACAAGTAGTTGTCATCAGTCTAAAAACGCCCAGTTCAAAATTATGTAATTCTGAAAGGCATTTAATAAGTCCATAAATAATGCCAAGAAGAGTTAAAATTTGCAGCAAAAGATCATAAACTTGGAAAATATTCTCATAATAGTACCAAGGTTTAATCAATGAACAATAATTAGGTCATGACATATCAGAATATAGCAGTGGGAAGCAAAACAGAGGCACGAAGGAGGGGGCGGTGGAGCTGTGAGCATGAAGAATATATGATGATCACACCAACCCACAAATGGTTCAGGATGAATCTGAAATCTCGGAACTGAATCTCAACAATATACAAAAACACCATTCAATATGTCCAAAGGAAGAAATGGACAGTAATGTAGCAAAACCACAGAAAGGGGAAAATGAGCTGCGTAATCCTTGTCTGGACTTCTAAAGATTTTTGTGACATCATTAGTCTTCATTCACATTGCATGTATCATGAAAAACATGTGCTCAGCTGCTGAAAATCAGTTGCTGCCATGTTTTATACATAAAAGTTATTTTGGAACTCATCTGCATTAGATTTCTGCTTTCAGCATATCTTCAGCACAAAAAGGCTGACATAAGCAGTCCTTCAAACTTCAGAAAATATATTCTGGTTTTTCTAGCATTCCAAAACAAAGACATAACTTCATAGTCATAAACAGCTTTCTCAAGCTTACTTTTCCTTAGGCAGCATGTAACAAAGTTGGATGAAACGACGAGACCATTGGCAGACAAATGTCTATCTTTTTCTACAAAGGAAGTCGGTGCAAAAATAGTTTGAGGATATTTCAGCCAGCAATTTTGTATGACATTTGCCAACAAAAAATTATGCAGGACAATGATATCAAGGTGTTCATGCAGGTATTAATTGGGCAAGTATTATGCCCTTCTACATGAAAGCAATTCTAATATTACAAGCACTGTAACTAAATCGATCAGTCAGAAATTACCTTGAGGATTTGTGCATTTAGAGCCAAATTCGAATCTTCAGTTTCACAAACTACAATTGTGTTTGCATCTTCTACCTGTTCCCCATCAATCAAATTATCAGGGTCAACAGCATTAGGAAAACAATTTCCAGTTGACTCATCAAGCAAAAGCTGCACTTTATCTACTCCTTCAGTTTCTTCCTTACAAGTAACTACAGAAAATGCGACATTCTCCGGTTTTCCTTTTGTCAACGAAAGTTCAGCAGCAACACTTGACTTCTCCTTCTCACATTCATGCATAGACATCAGAAGTTTTTCCTTTTCTTCTTTGCAACATTCAAGACTTAGTAGTGCACATTCCAACTCTGCCTTCATTCGGTCACAGGCCTTGAGTTTTTCACGGTTGTCAGAAAGTACGGACTGCAATTCAGCGTCAAGTGCCAAAAGTTTGAGTGCCAGTTCTTCATTTCTTTTGGAGTGCAAAGCTTCTGACCTTTTCCTGCTTTCAATCTCATCCACAGCATCTTGTAATTTCAGAAGCATCTCTTCTCCATGCCTTTTGGAGATAGCAAGCTGCTGCTTTAGCTCTTGGTTCTTGGTCTCATACTGCTCCTTGATGAAGGCAATGCGCAGTGATTCTTGTATAGCAACAGGTGGTCCTTGAGGTTCTCGTTTTTCATGAGAAAGAAGCAATTCAGCTTCAGCCTTATTTTTGAGCTCCTTCAAACGGATGGATAAGTTTTTGAATTCTTCAGTTTTCAAAATTTGGTGAGAAAGCTTGTTAGAAAGGTCAGTATTTGTGGAACGTAAGGTCATCAGCTTATCTTCATACTCTTCCAGCAAACTTATGCAAGCAAGCTGTTCATCTAGTTTGTGCTTGAGGACTATCATCATGATTTCCAACTGTTCCTTGGCCAACGCCAAAGAAACTGTTTCTTCTTCTGCATCTGCCAGCTTGCTCTTTAATTGGTCTACATCAAACACATGCAGATCTTCATGCTCAGACATTCTAACCTCCAAACCATCAGCATCAGCATTATCATTAATCTCCTTCAGATGGATGGATAAGTTCCTGAATTCCTCAGTCTTCAGAATCTGTTGAGACAGCTCATTTGCAAGCTCACGTTTCTCATCTTTACATTGTTCCAGCAAGGTAGCACAAGAGAGCTGCTCATCTAGTTTGTGTTTCAAGAATATAATTCTGATTTCCAGTTCTTCCTTGGTTAATGTCATACTAACCATTTCTTCTTCAGCAATTTCCAGTTTCACTTTCAATTGTTCCACCTCATTCAGATGCTGATCTTTATCCTCAGACATTTTAACCTCTAGACTTGCCAGCTTTGTCTTGTATTCTTCAAGTTGAACCATGATATCTCTGTTTGCATCTGACAGAACTCTATTCTGCACTGCAGAGGCTTCAAAATCAGATCTTACTGATTCAATAGCTTTCACTAGATTTGAATTTTCTTTGGAGCAACGAGATTCATTTGCAAGAGAGCAATTCAACATTGCATCCAGATCAAAATGCTTTTTCTGAAGCTCCCTAAAACACAGATCTGAAGATCTGAGTTGCTGCTCAAGCTCCTGAATTCTGATCTTGTACATGCTGAATAGAAACACAGCCTTAACATCTGCACCAATTAAATACTCATGCATATCTGACAACTGACTTTCAAGACCAATCAAACAAGAAGTCTGAGCTTTAAGTTTTTCATCTCCCTTGGACAAAAGATGGTAAAGTCTGGATTTGTCCAACTCTAAGTCTGCAACAAGCTGCCACAAGTTCACCAGTTCAGCTTTTTGCTGTGAAAACTCTTGCAACTTGTCTTGTTCCTTGTTCAGTTGTGCAGCAAGATCACCAACTGCAATCCCTAACTTGTCTTTCAACCCTCTTTCCATATCCAACTCGTTCTGCAGACTTTGAAAGTTTTCTTGAAGACAGTTAAACTCAGATGCCAGCTTGGAAGATTCCACAGTTTTATCCTGTAATGAAAAAATCAAGTTCTGCTTCTCTTGTATTAGCTCAGCAATTCTGGTCTTGTACAGGCGGATAAGAAACACAGCCTTAACATCTGCAGCAATTACATACTCATGCATATCCAACAACTGCCTTTCAAGACCAATCAGATGAGAAGACTGAG